TGGCCATGTACACTATTATGGGAAACTGAGGGTATGGAGTATGTAGAAAAGCATGCAAAAGGTTTTGCTCATGTAGGCTTTCTTTAAAGAACTAAAGGAAAAACTGGAAATAAAAGAACAAAAAGTTAAACTAAATTATTTTTGGGTCACTGACTTTGCTCTGCAATACTGCTCAAGCAGACAATATTTAACCACTTGAAGTCTGCGGTGTTTAAACCCCCTTCCCACCCAGGCCATTTTTCAGTATTCAGCGTTGCAGTACTTTTACTGACATTTATTCCGTCTTGGAATGCTGTACTGAAATACATTTTAATTTTTATCTTGGAAAAGGGAACGAGACAGTGCTGCCCTCTGTCACCCCCTACTGTTCAACCTATCCCTAGAACCGCTAGCAGCTCACATAACGCACTCAGATGCTTTTCATGGGATTAAGGTGGGCAAAGCGGAGCTTCGATTGGCAATGTTTGCTGATGATGTCCTGCTGTTCACTTCCCGCCCAAATGAACACGTCTTATTCACTCCCAATCTGATAGACCACTTTAAAACGTTCTCGGGACTCCGGATTAACTTCCTGACAAGCGAAATCCTCCCCCTGTCAAGGACGATAGCGATGGATGGACACGGAGTCATGAGGGTGGCACAGCAGCATATAACTTACCTGGGTATAAAGGTGGGGAAGACTCCCTCTTCTCTTTATCACCTCAATTATCCCCCGCTAATACAAAAAATTTGCAAGGAATTGGATATGTGGAGGGACCTGCCCTTATCGCTCTTCGGGAGAATTCACCACATTAAAATGATAAGTTTTGCAAGGCTGCTATCCCACTGCAAACTCTCCCCTTACTGTTGAAGACTACCGATATATCTCTTGCCTAAATAGAGCCATGTCAACGTTCATTTGGCAAGCGAAACGGCCGAGAATTTCTTTGAAGAAACTCTGGCTCCCTAAGGGAGAGGGGGAACTAATCTCCCGAACATCAAACTGTACAATATGGCTTGTTTACTCCGTCATGCCCTAGACTGGTTATCCGAGAGTGAAGTTTATTCGAATACCCAACTGGAGACGGAGTTTATCAACCCATGGGATCTTAAGGCGGTCCTCCACTGCAAACTCTCCTCCCTACCCCAGCGCATTCGACACATTACCCTGATTAGGGACACAATTACTGTTTGGCGAAAGATTAGGAAATCTCTTAAACTCCCTTTTATGTATGTCCTCCCACTGTCCCATCATGGGGCACCCCTCATTTGTTCAAGGCTTAGATTACTCAGCGTTCCACAAATGGAAGGAGAGGGGCCTCCATCACTGGAAACAACTATTTGACTCTCAAACTTTCGCCCCTTACTCTTTCAAGGATCTGATACAACAATATCGTATCCCTCCCCAGGACTTTCTACACTATTTACAGCGAAAGACCGCATGGCACAGTTTCAGGGGAACGCCGAGATCCCTTTTCTCCGTCATTTCTGGACGTACTTGTATCTAACAAAACATATTCTATATCGACACTATACCCAAAACTACAAACGCTATTTCTACCATCCCTCTCAGGGTCAAGTGTGAAAGGATGGTCAAGAGACTTTGATGATCAAGATCTATTACCTAAACTTCTCGCTGGGTACACCAAAACGAGATCAATAATGACTCCCTCTTCCTCCTGATGCCCTCCCGAGCTGGTCCCGGGCCGCAGATGGGCTAGCGGATCCCGGGATTGAATGTGAGGGTTTAGGAGGGGGGGGTGGAGGCAGCAGACTGGGGGGGGTCACACACCAGCACATATACCCGATCGGCTGGCTATAGAGCCGCCTATCGGGTATATGTTTAAACAGCCGGTAACGGCTCTATGCATTGCACGGGGGTTTTTTTCTGCCCGTATGCGAGCAGAAAAAAAAATTGGAAGGTGTTAGGCAGGAGAGAGAGGAATACAGGTGGGTGGTGTGGAAGTGTTCAGTACATTACGGAGACAGTTTAGATACTGTTTGTTAGGGAGGGAGGAACAAGTTATGGCTAAAGATGTAGAGAATGATGATGGTCATCGTTGATGTAGGTGTTGGTAGGTTGGGTTTTGTGCATCCATCTAATTTATAAGTCATGTGTGACTTGTTTGTTCCTTTGGGAGAAATGACAGGTCATACCCTCTCTATTGAAGTGTCATTGTGTTTTGTTTTTTTTACCAGCAATGACATGTCTTTGAGAAGGATTGGAGCTTCATTTTATGAAATGCCATGCAATTTTACATATGTTCTTGGGCATCTGTCTCCCCTGTGGCTGCCAGGGGACAGTGTTCTGCAGATGGGATAGTAGCCTGGAGAATGGAGAGTGTACAATGGCCATGATACTGAAACAAAAAGCTGCTACATGGCATCAGCCAGAGGACTCCAAGTTAAAGTACCGTACAAAGCATACAAGAAGGGGCTGAATACAGCAGGCTGTGTTATTGAGAGTTGTCGGGGTGAAGAAGCAGTGCAAACCGAGTGCACTTGTTGATCTGCAGTGCAGGCAACAGAGGAAGAACTGCTGACAATCGAGGGAGATCTGCAAGAGAAGATAAAGCAATATGGAGAGCTGCAAGGCATGGTTCTGGAGAGTAGACGCAGACAAGAGAATTGTGTGGGATGGGATGTCCCTTCTGCCTTTGTAGAAACTGCTCCGTGAACAATGTGCTCTAGAACTTGTCAAACTGGGTTGTAAAACTCTGAGCGTTACATCTGACAAGCGATGCCTGCGCTTACTGGAGACATTCACTTTGGTTAGCAGAATCCTTCAGCATGTATTTAGGAACATTTATTTATAATATGCAGCACGGCTGGACAAATCCCATGAGCCAGGTAACCAGTGCTCCTTAAAAATTACAGCTGGTTCCTAATTTATGAGATTATCTCTTTGTTGTCAATTGAGCTGGCTCCTAAAAATAATCCAGTTTGGCTCCTGAATTGAACAAGCTTGCTCCTGAATTTTGTATTTGTACACCCCTGCTATACAGGAAGGATTGCATCCCACGTGCTATAATCAGCTGGTCAGGGCTGATCACTCAGATCTGTTCTCTTCTCAATGTAGAGCTGTGGTTCTTATCTGTTGGGTCGCAACACCTTGTTCAGTGGGTCTTTATTTGCCTTCCGCTGTGCTAGGCGAGAGGTTCCTCAGCCTACCCCTGGCTCAGCACTGTCCCTTCTTGCGCCGAGCAGCCATTCAAAATATGCTGCCTGGTGCCGAGTGTCAGCTTGAGGTGGGGTAAGTATGGCCGCAAGGGAGCTTCATCCATATGTACATTGCTTATAGCTCCCCCACGTGCCCTGTAGAGGTGCCTGAACTGGAGTGACGTCATATTGTGACTCCCGGCACCTCTACAGGGCTGTGCCCAGTGTTTAAAGGGGGCAAAATGTGTCTCTAACAGTAAAAAGAACCTTTTTAGAAATATATGTGACAGTTGACTCAGATTTATTGTGCATATAGGCTTTTCATAATATACAGATGAAAAGATCCTTTAGAAATGCCATGGTGGATTTATTATGAATGAATTGCTGTTTAATAAGATGACTCCTTCTTTCATAGATCAAGATGGTGAATTATCGGGAACGTTATCGCTCGTGTTAACACAGTGTTGTAAGAGGATAAAGGACACGGTGCAGAAGCTGGCCTCTGACCACAAAGACATCCACAGCAGTGTGTCCAGAGTGGGGAAAGCCATTGATAAGGTATGCTTGGTGCTTTGTCTCTGGGCTGTATGTAGCTCTTGTAGTTGAATTGAATGGGACATCACTACAACTGTTGTGTTTTTGTAACACAGCCTTGTGACTTTCTAGCAAACACTATGATGTGACTGAGGATGGTAGGCATGTTAGCAGTTTTGAGTTGATGAGGTTAAAGCAGACCTTTACCCCTTTCACTAAAAATCACCTCCGTATACAGCTCCTCATGCTGATATATCATCGTACATTCATTAGTCACTATCGGCCACTGAAACATATCAGCAGAAAAATTGCACTTTTGGCTAAATGCCAAAAGTGCAATTTTTCTGCCGATATAGCGGTGCATCCATTCTGTGTCTCTCCTCCCCGCTGGGCACTGCTCTGTGTCCCAGTGGGGAGGAGAGAAACTGTGACAGGCGGCCGAGCGCTGTGAACGGCCGGCGTCTCTCCTCCCCGCACAGCTCAGCCTCCTGTCACGGATCATGAGAGCGGCGGTGTGTGTGGGCGAAGACAGCCAGCGCTGTAACTGGAGGCCGGCCGGCGCTGCGGCGGAGGAGTCGGCTGTCGGATCAAGCTCTCCTCCCGCACCGCTCGCTCGCTCAGCCTCCTGTGACAGCTGTCGGGAAGGAGAGCAGGTACAAATACTCAGCGATCGCTGATTGTTTGTTTGTAAATGAGGACAGGGTATGTTTACTATATCCTCAATTATGAATGGGAAGTGATCAACATCACCTCCCGAGTCTTGTTCATTCATGATTGTGGTTATTGTAAACACACTCTGTCCTCATGTTATGAATGAACAGGAGCACTCAGTATAGAAGATTCCTGCTCATTTATAACAGGGGATACAGAAAGAAAGATTGAGGACCCTGTGTGCTCAATCTCTTTCTGTTTTAAAAGGGAAATATCAGGGGTCTGATTCCCCGAAGCTCCATAAGTAAAGAAAAAAATAAAAATATTTAATAAAAATAAAATATTTGAAAAAGTAATGTTTATTAATTATAGTAATTGCAAGTAAAAGAAAATTTAGAGGTGCACCGAAAATTTTTAAAAACGAAATAAAATAAAAAAAATGTCAGGCCAAAACCAAAAATGTTTTGGTGTCTTTGTTGTAATTTCAAGGATAAAGGTAAAGTTCTTTTTTAAACTTTCCTGTACGTATCCCCTCATATGTTTATTACTTTTTGAAGCATCGGAGGTCATGTTTTCGGAGAGTTTGGTTTCACTTGCAGCAATGTTGTGGGAGATAATACCCAACTGACGGCAAACTGGAGAGAGAAACCATTTCTTAGACCAGGAGACCAGATGATTCCTATGACTTTCACTGAGAGGAGTCATCGTTCTTCCATGATGGTGGTTGTGCTCTCCATTCATGTGTACGGGACAATCTGGAATATATGCGGATGCAGCAACTGTAGCAATTTAGATGACAGGACCGCTTACAGCAAAGCGGAGTTCTGGAAGAAGGTGTGCCAGTCACCTGATTGGTCAGATTGTGGAGGAACACGGAGAACTGAGATCAGCGTCTACCCCCCATGTCCCTACATAATAATCTGTTTCTGTACTCTATTACAGATGTGCTTTTAGCTAAAATACTTGGTGTTGGAATTTGGCCTAAGGGATTGTACAGGTACATGTCTAAAAATAAATTTTCTGAATATGTCCAGGTAACACCCATCCCCCACACAATATTCTCATTGAATGACTGCTAATTGAAGTTTATTCATCTATTACCGTTAAGGTGCTAACATTTTTATTCTATTTTGGAGGCTCTTCTAAGGATCTACTTCTAAGGCCCGGTTCCCACGCTCTGCAAAACGCTCAAACACCGAAATCCCATTATTTCCTATGGGTATGTTCACACCTAGGCGTATTACAGGCCGTATGAACGTGCTACAAAACACTCTACGCCCAAAGAAGTACGGGAGCGTCTTTGGGGCGTATTTGTCGCGCGTATCCATTGGGACACAGCCAGGTAGCCCTCGGAAACGCGCGTTTGTCTACTGCGAATCGTGGTAAAAACGTGTGGCACGAAACGTGACAAACGCGCATATTCGATACGTCTAGGTGTGAACCCAGCCTAAAACCATGAGCTAGCACTTCAAATTCTTTGTAACCATTGATAGAGCTTGGCTTGTCTGAAGAAGTGTTTTTACTGCAGTATAGTAAATTAGCAAATGTAGCCACTTTATCCCTCAGGCCAGAACAACCAAATCAATTATTCCGGTGAAATAATGGACCTGCTCAACGAGTAAGCCGGCGTAAAGTTAATTGACTCAAGGCAAGCGATCAGATTTGATTGTTTTCCGGCCTAACATCTGTAAACTGAAGCTAATAGTTTGATGTAGTTTACTGCACTACCCTATTAAAGGGGCAATCCACCTAGATGTGATTTAGTTCACTCAGGCTTCAGCTTGCATAAGAGCAGTGTGAACACCACATTTTTTCCTCAAGCTTTTGTCTACCTTTTAGCAAGCTTTGAGCAGCTTTCTCAAACCCTTTAGAGCATCCTTCAGCTCCAGTTTGGGAATGTTAAACACAGATCATAATGGGAGGTCTGACTGTCACTTTAAACAAGCTGCTAGCACGCTTCTGCATGCTTTCAGCAAGCTTCAATTGCCTTTCCAACTCTACCCTCTCCCCCATTCCTCTACTCCAGTGGCCTCTTATGCAGTGGTTCTCAATCTGTGTAACCTCAGGACCCACATATGTCCTTGGTCATTAACAGGGCTAGAAAAATCCGCTGTCCTCATTTGTGACTAGAGGATGCCGGAGCTGGACGAGTAGCTTCCCGGCCAGCTGTTGAAATTAAACGGCTGGCCGGGAGCTTTACATTCAAGCGATCGAGCGTCTGTAGAGATGCCCGATTGCTTGTATTAGTTGCGGTTTTATCCCCATCCCCCCCCCCTCGTCACTGCCGTTGCCGATCCCGAGAACCACTGTGCCCGGTGCCTCTGGGACCAACACGGCTGCTCTGTGACAGGAGATCAAGTACACGATCTCCCCCTGAACTCCTCTCTGGTCGTCCGAATGCATGAAGTGATGTATATTACAGCGCTTCCACATTCAGCTGTCATTCTCCGGCTACAGAAGCTGGTGAAGCAGATTTCTGCTTCATCAGCTTCTCTGGGGGTCTTGGAGACCTGTGATGTCTCCATACTGCTGAGGACCTGTCATGTAAATTGGCTATCACATAGGGAGCTTCCTAGCCCCCCATGTAATGGCAATAAAGTCAAGTGTAAAAAACAACAACATTTTTTAAGCCCGCCACAAATACACACAAACATACTTTAGGTGTGCCTATGTGCGAAAACAACGATTGCGCCTATTGTGCCGCACATGTTACATATCACCGTGAACGTCGAGTGCGAGCAATAATTTTAGGGCCATTAATTACTGAAAACACTTAACTGATGAGCGGTAAAAGCATTTCAAGCGTCGCCTATGGCCAGTTTTCAGCGTGGCCGTTTTTGGGGATTTTTGCGCGCGCAATTTTAAGGCTTGACATGTTTGGTGTCCATTTTACCCAACGCGACCCCGTCTTTTGTGTGTGTATAGGGATTTTTTTTTTTCCTGACATTTACAGTACCTTTTTCATTATATGGTAAAAAAAGCCCCCCCCACTCCGTGGTGATTGTATACCACCAAAACAAAGCTCTGTGTCCCTAGAAAATGTTAACATAAATTGCAAGGCCGTAGTCCGGTCATGCTGACTGGTGAAACACCCTAAAATTTTTCAAGCTCTGGTCATTAGGTTGCGACCCAAGTCGCACCGCTCTGGAATGCATGCATTGCAGTAACGTGCGTTCTGGTGCAGACAACAAACTGTGGACGGAAGGTGCATTGAGGTGGCATTCAAATGAATTGCAGCGTAAGGCACTGCAATGCGTGGTTGACAACCACGGCTCTAATGTCATCACATCTAATGCAGGGTCCATAGCTCTGTATTGTACATGAGGAACAGTCCACAAGGTGGAGGGGAGAAAGCTACGATCCCTGGTGTAGCATAGATCAAGTAACAAAAACTGCTCCTCACAATTTCCTAGAACTAAATGAGTGGTTAACCCTTGTAGTTTGGGGGGGGGGTAGCTCCACTGCAAGGGGATAGGCTTTAAGTGAGACTATCGTAGGATTTATATCACTGAGCCATTTATTTTTGTTCGAGTATCTTCCAGGATACGCCTGCAGGGCAAATATTTACATGTTGGTAATGAAATGATGATAATTATACAGTCTTGTTTTTTAGCAGTGGTAATTCATGTGGGTGATGCATCATAAAACTGCAGCTGATGTCCTAAGTATTGTCTGTGATGTGTTTATAAAGCCAGCTCGGGTAATGCATTCACCGAATTGGCCTGGTTTATAAAAGTGGAAGGATGCCCCATAGCAGGCCATCAGATCCAGCCGGTAATGGCATGAAAGCTTGTTATGGTGGGGTGGCTTGTTATGGTGGGGTTGCCATGAGCATTATTTTGTTTCGGTTTTAATAACCAGGTGGAATTTGGAAATATTTTGAGGCTACCAGTTAAATTTGTCCATTTCAAGATCCATTAGTCATTCGAAAGGCTAGTGATCATGTGATTGGGACTACACCCTCCTGTTCTTTACAGCCAAAGGTGGCGCCATCTAAGCCCAGGTTTACATCTGAGTGATTTTTGAAGAGCTTTTTTAGAATCGCTTGAATGGCCAACATGAGGACTCAGACTGTATCTTATGGTGGCAGTTCACACTTGGGCTTTTTTGAGGCTCGAGTGCGTGCTTTTTCTTTTTTTCCTCCCATAGACTTTAGTGGACATAATTGAAAACATAAATACAAGTATCTTCTTCCTTCCTTCCTTCTTCCTTCTTCCTTCTTCCTTCTTCCTTCTTCCTTCTTTATTTTTTTTTTTATATTTTGGAAAAGGAGCGAAGAGCGCCACCTGCTGGCTGATTTTTAAAATACTATGGGGGAAATTTATAAAAACTGGAGCATATTTGCACTGCACCCAATCAGCTTCTCTCTCTCCTTTTCAAATCTTACCTGAGCAAAGTGAAGAGAGTTGCTGATTGTTTGCCATGGGCAACTGCTCCAGATTCTGTTTGATCCAGTTTTGATGATAAATTCCCCTCAATATGTTTGAAATGTTTTCCTATTCATTTAGCTAAAGATGTGTTTTGTTTTTTTATCAGTTTAACCCCTTCCCACTGCCCGTATGTATATGTGCCAGAATGGTGATTGGCTGGAACGCTGTTCTGCCACCTATAATATCGGCTGTGCTGAGTGCACTCACTCTGTGCCCCCCGCACTGTGCCTGCACTGTCACTGATGGCTCCTGGTCAGTTTGTGATCGGGAGCTGGTAGACTACAGTAACCACTGTAACAGCCAATTACAGTTCAGATATTTCATGATCGGGAGCCCACCTATCAACCTCCGGCTCTAAGATCCCTTTAAAGGGCTGGCTTCTGCTGTCCTAAAGGGGTTACTAGAACAGCTGGATAAAATCAAGGTTATATGCGCCTTCAGTAAAGGGTTGCCTTATCAGATGTACATAGTAATCAATAAAACCGTGCAAAATATGGTCACCTGCAGAAAACAATCCTTTCCAGCAGAACAAATATGATGACTATTTCTAGCTTATGACAGCTGCCAGTGGCATGATTCTGCAAACGGCAGCTGAACGTAAATACAGCAGGGAGGGTGCAAAAATCAGCCTGCTATTGGACATTTCAGATTGCAATAGCCGATAGCAGTCTGACTATTGCACCAGACCACTGCTTGCTGTGCCCTCCTCCCAGCGCAGAGGAGAGAGCTAGGGGATCTAACCAACTAATTGATAATGAGAATAGTTGACCACTATAATCGATTAGTTGGTTGCAGCCCTACCCTAAACAACCATTTGCTTTATATTTTGTACAGAATTTCGATGCAGACATCAGCAGCGTGGGCATTGATGGCTGCTGGCAGGTGGACAGCCAGCGTATCCTCAATGAAGTGATGGTGGAACACTTCTTCCGGCAAGGGATGTTGGACGTGGCTGAGGAACTGTGTCAGGTATGTTTAAACAGAACTTCTTATTTTTACTTCCTGAATATGTGAGCAGTTTTACAGATATTCATCCTGTTTATTTCCATTTTCAGTATTGGTCATCTTTGATGATGGTGCCTAAGGGGGATTACATGTCTCCAGTTTTTCAGTACAGCTAATTACATTTTTTTTTTTTTTTCCGCTTGCCCATGCTGTACATGAGATTTTATAGACCGTATGGTGTGTCACAGAATTAGGATAGACCAGGACACCATCTTCATGGTGTTTGCATGGGTTTCCTCCAACATTCCAGAGACATGCTGACAGGTGCATTTCTGTCTACATTGGCCCTAGTATGTATGACCTGGCTATGCACATATGTGCTATCATATTCTGCATGCTGGTCCCAAGCCTCAGTAAATGGGTAGGGGGGGGGCGGCGGGTTGAGGAAAGACCTAAAAAAATTTGAGAATCTGTCACAATTGCCACCTGACTTCACACTGCTCCCGAATGAATTAGGCCCATGTCTGACAAGCAATCCTGTGATGGTGACAGGATTGCTAACACCACTTACTTTCTCCTAATGGAGTCCCTAGCAGCTGTATTTAATGTATACTTGTCACTTGTGTGGGTGATTCTGTTGCTGGTTATTTTCTCAGCGCCAGAATCGCCCATCTAACAGCAAAAAGTTTCCCAACAAAACAGAGGTTTAGATACACATCTTCTGCAGAAAAAGTGAAAGCCGCACCGTGATGCATGGGGGGGGGGGGGGGCATAGCTGCCGTTGTGATGTGCGGGGGTCCCTTGTGTGTCCCTGTACCTTTTTTTTTGGGCTTCCTCTTGACAAACCTGCACTCAATTCTATCTTTTGCTACATGTTCTCCAAGATGGAGACTCTCATAGTTTAGAGTTAGGACTGCACTATATAGAGGTGCCTTGGCGCGGCTGTACGGCTTTCACATGTTCTGCAGAAGACGTGTATCTAAACCTCTGTTTTTATATACCGAAATTCGTCCAGGTGCTTTTCTTTTAATTACCGCTGATCCAACCTTGCGATAATCCGGGCAGGATGGGGCCGCCGTACGAAAATCGTTCACCGGTTCGATCATTGGACGAAAAGTTTTGTTTGATCGCAAGGTGTATGGGCAGCTTTTAGAGTATTAAATAACAGTGATCAAAAGTGGAGTTCTTTTAGGTTTACAACATTGCTACTCCATAGATACAGTATGGTAGGTGAGCGTTGTCACCTAGGATAGGGAGTGTTCACCAGGTGAATAGAGTGGGACAAAAGCTGCTAATAGAAACCGAATGCAGCCACCACATTTAAGGACTGGTAAGTTGTGATATATCACATATTTTGTTTTTGGGTTTAGATGTACTTTAAACTCCCAAGTACTTCTCTGTACATGTCTGCAGAGCAAACGCAGGCTGAAGTTCACTTGGCACCAGTTTCATTCCAGTCATTGCCGATTGTGTAATAAACAGAATTAGTCATTGTAGATGGGAAAACATTATCTGCTTGTATAATGGGAGTTTCAATCTTCATAACACTCACTATTTGTGTTTTATGATGTCCATGTATCATGTTTACGTGTGTGTGGTGTGTGTGATTTTGTAATGGGGTTTTTTTGTTTGTTTTGTAGATATGCGTTGAAGAGTTGTGGTCTTCCTCTTAGTTTTTTAAGGAAACCTAGTGACAGTAATATTTTGGCTGCAATTGCTGACCTCCTTCTGGAAATAAATAATAATTTTCTATTCTATTCCAGGGACTTCAATCCTTTACTGACTAAGAACAGTTCCACAGGTCACGTGTTGCGACTTCACTCTGATTTCCTGTTGCAGGCTGATAACTCTGAGCCACAAAGTATAACCGCAACGTTGTGAGCTTGCTATGTTTGCTCCTGCAGTTGCTTGTTGGGATTCCAATCAGTTTTACAGGAGACATGCATGGACCCAATAGGTAGCCCAATGGTCCTGCTTTCTTTTTGCCATCAAGATCCACACCTGTTATTTATTACCTTAGCTATTAACAAAAAAATAATGTATCTTATTTGTGTATCGCTCGGCTGTAGATCCTCAAGTCTTCTCTGAATTGGTGCTGACACTGTCCTTCCTTCTGGAGGGTGACTACTTTTCTTCACCATGGTCCCTGTGTGTTATAAAGTCCCGTGATGGACTACAATCTCAATACATATTAGTAAACTAAACCTGAGATTGTAGTACATCACGGGAGCGAGCTTGGAGCGGTGGATACTTTACAACACACACAGGAAGCACAGGGAACAAAAGTAGCCCCCCTCCAGAAGGAAGGACAATGTCGTCACCAATTCAGAGATCATTTGAGGATCTACAGCCGAGTGATATACACATGAGCTACATTTTTTTCGCTAATGGTTAAGGTACTTGAATAACAGGTGTGGATCTTGATGCCAAAAAGAAGTCAGGGCCATTGGGCTACCTATTGGGTCCATGCATGTCTCCTGCAAAATTGATTTGGAATCCCAACAAGCAACTGCAGGAGCAAACCTACCAGGCTCACAACATTGCTGCTATACTTTTTTTTTTTTTTTATAGTTAAGGTACATGAATGCATTTTCAAGATTTATCTCCTAAGTTTAGTGTTATTTTAATTGGACCAGAAATCAAGGTCCTATGTACAGCAATGGCCTAGAAGAGAGGAAATAGTAACATTGAATGTTGTGTTTTTAGGGAGTGTTGGCATATGATGCCAGGGATTACAAGTTAGTCGGTAGCAGTAATGATGTCTATTCAGGCTTTCCAACATGCTTTAGTTTGCTTACTTTGACTTTGTTTCTCCATTTCAGGAAGCAGGCCTCTCGATAGATGCAAGCCAAAAGGAACCATTTGTGGAACTTAACCGAATATTGGAAGCATTGAAAGTTCGAGTTCTCCGGCCAGCCCTGGAGTGGGTATTTAATGAACTAGTATAGCATTTATCCATAAAATATACAAATATAAGAACTGGTTACTTCCTATACATTCCTAGTCACTTTTCCTGCTATTTTTTTGTTATTAAAGCCTCCTAACCCCTACCAGACCACCACCACCATCCTGCCTCTGGTAACTGCTGAGGTCTACCAGGTTGGTCATGGTGGTTGCTTATTGCCTCACCAGAACTTGTGCTCCACACTCCAGTGAGTGATGGCGCTGCTTTATGTGACATCTGGTCAATTAAAAGTGCTCAAGGACACTGTCTTCCTGTAGGAGTGGTGATTCTTTGAGTCCTGGCACCCCTTCCTGCATCTCATGGCTGGAGCACTGGGAGGATGTTTGCACCACATAGGGGATTGGATATTGTATTTTTTTTTAGCAGCTATGAATGACAGTGTATCCTAATAATTTGCATAATTTCTGGTTTCTCCTGCCCTTTTCTTGTTTCATCTCGGATCCCACTTTCATTGTTAGATTTGAACATGTCTGATAAGGCCACATGACTTTTGAAGTTATTTATGAAATAAGATTTGAGCACCTTTTCCAAAGAGCAGAATCTTTCAGTAAAGGCATTTTGAAAATGTAGAAGTTGTGGATGTACCGATAGTAGTATCTGTGCCGATACCGAGTATTTGGCGGGTGCTCCGATACTTAACTCCGAGAGATCTTCCTCTGACTGCAAGTGCCGAGGGAGCATGGAGCCGGCTTCCTTTTCAATCGGGAAGCTAGGTGGTGGGTTATGACCCGCCTCCCGGGTTCCTGATTGGCTAGGCAGCCTGGCTTCCTAACCAATTGGGAAGTCAGGCAGGACATAATGACCCGCCTCCCTGTTTCCTGATAGTCAGGAAGCCAGGCTGCCTAGGACAGTCAAACCAACTTCCTAGCCAATAAGGGAGACGGGTCATGACTTGCCGCCCAGCTTCCTGATTAGCTAGGAAGCAAGATTCACTTGTTGCTAGGCATCATGGCTTACTGACCAATCAAGAAGCCAGACGGCACCTCATGACTCGCCGCCCGGCTTCCTGATTGGTCAGAAAGCCAGGCAGCCTTGGCAAGTTTTTCGCTAAAACACCGTCTTCATAGGCAATCAAGAAGACGGGCGACGGGTCATGATCCACCACCCGACTTACTTATAATCTGGGCTCAAGGCACCGGTACTCGGTATCGACGAGTGCCGAAAACAAAAAAATATCGATACTCGATACTGAAAAAACATTATCAGTGCATCCCTAGTACCCTGTGTCTCCAAAAATAAGACCTAGTACTATTTTTGGGAATTGCTAAAATAGAAGACCTACCCCGAAAATAAGACCTAGCTGTGACCATTTCCAGGGCCGGTGGTGGCATAAGGGGGAACTTATAGAGCCGCAGGAGAAAAGCAGCGGTGCCAACAAAGCCAGCGCTAGAGGAAGCGAGGTGGCGCCGGAGGGAGTAGAGCCGTATAAGCCGATGCCTCCTCTATAGCACCAGCTCCTGTCACAGGCGGAGTGATACCAAATGCACTCCGCCTGTGAGGAATCGATAGTGAAAGTGCGTTTCGCTCATTCTGGCCAGCGATTGGTTACCAAATTGCTCTTGGAAAGGTACGGCACCCCTGATTGCCCTGATCGCCATATTTTTGTACATGTATACATGTAGACTGTTGTACATGAAGTGTGGATTGTTGTACATTAAAAAAATTAAAATAAGACCTACCTCGAAAATAAGACCTAGTGTGTTTTGTTTGTTTTTTGAGCCCAAAAAAATAAGACTGTCTTATTTTCGGGGAAACACGATAGAAGTAGGATTATTGAAAATGTGGTTGAAAATGGAATTTTAATAGGAAGTTATCTAATTTTTGTATTTTCATATTCTTCCCCAGGTGGGCGGTGTCAAACAGGGAAATGCTGATGGCTCAGAACAGCTCTCTGGAGTTCAAGCTGCACAGGTTATACTTCATTAGTTTACTGATGGGTGGAGCAGCCAACCAGAGGGAGGCGCTACAGTATGCCAAAAATTTCCAGCCATTTGCTTTAAATCACCAGAAAGGTAATTATTCCTGTCCTAAACTCATTCTTTATGGGTTAGTTGTAGAACTTATAGGAGAAGTGCCTACTTGCTGCAGTGTTTACAACCTCCCACAAAATCTGCTTTGCTCTGGCCCCACCTGCGCTGTCGATCCCCGTAGACTTCTCCGGGTCTATGGCGTGTCAAAAGACCATCTCGTAGAACTCTGCAGGAATCGACAGGGCAGGGCCTGCCAGTGCAGAGAAGCATCCTTCTTCATCATTGACAGATACAGCACTCATCTTAGTCTTGACAATTGGGTTATAGTGCCACAGGAGTAGGAAGCGGGATAAAAAGAATAGCTCAGTCCGGGACAGCCCCTGTTGGTGGCCAAACCTCCTCTCTGCTAGGACATGAGCAGGTTAGGACCCACGAGTTCCTGCAAAAAAAATTAGGAATTTTTTTTTTTTGTCGGTTTTATGTAAGATTAACTCCTTCATTTTGAGCCCTTTGTTGTTGCTAAGGTAGTGTCCTGCTTTCTTTTTAAATTGGATAATTGTGCTTCTGTCACTTTGCCTTAAACTGGCTCGTAACAAAGAGCCTTTCCATGCTTGGTCATAGTTGGGGGCCGGCCACTTTTATTTTAATATCATGGCTTGCTGTCATTAGATGCATTCTCTCTTGGTGGTCACAAAAGGGCCAGAAGGTTTTTGTGGCCACCATTTCTCCATTGGATTTGCCAGACAATCATTTAGGATTCTATAATGCATCAGGAACCTCTGTTCTTCATTATGGCTTACTCTGAGGGAAAGTTCTTTTCCTCCCCTGAGATGATGTGCGTGGTCACATGTCCTAGTCACATGTGCCAGAGTTCCAGGAAGTAAAGGGAGATGGATTTATCTGCCTTTTGTAAAAATGGCCACTGTAAGAAGAATGGGGAAGAAAAGAAAAATAAGGTATGTAAATAATACAAAGCTGGCAAATATCTAGAAGTATGTGATTGTAGATTGTCATTACTGAATATTCCTAAAGGTGTGTTGTTATTTTGAAGTAATATATATGATATGAGTAAGGGCTCATTCACACGGGAAATGGCCGGCGCATACAGCTCCATGCTGCGTGCACGGCCGTATCGGGCAGCTCCCGGGAAGGACCGGTGTTGCGTGTGATTAGTACGCAGCTCCTGTCCTCTAATGGGAGTACGTGGCCATACGCCGGCCTATGCTCCCCTTCCCTGCACGTCCGTGTGGGTGAGCGTACTCGTACGCTGACGGGATGGATCCTGTCTGTGTCCGAGCCGGGACACTCGCACCCGTACAGCCGCGTACTCCCATAGAGAAGGACAGGAGCTGCGTACTAATCGCACGCAACACCTGTCCTTCCCGGGAGCTGCCTGATACGGCCTTGCACGGAGCTGTACGTGCCGGCCGTTTCTAGTGTGATGTGGGCTAAAGATCCGCTTTAATAATAAAGGTGGAGCTTTTTTTAAAAGTTATACTATTGTATATAATCACATCAGGAATATATGCAATAAGGTAACTGAAAGGTCATCTTTAATATCTTAATAGAAATGTCAGTTGTGTCTTTAATAATCCTTTTCATTTGTGTATTAGACATCCAGGTGCTTATGGGAAGCCTTGTGTACCTGCGGCAGGGTATAGAGAACTCTCCTTACGTTCATCTGTTAGATGCCAACCAGTGGGCGGACATCTGTGACATCTTCACCCGGGATGCCTGTGCTCTGCTTGGTCTCTCTGTAGAATCTCCTCTCAGTGTTAGGTAAATATTATTTTACTCCTACTAACCTCAGTTTCTGGCCCAAAATACCTTCCATCTTGGTGGCATAAAGTTTTGGGCAGGTTGACGGGGCCAACGTATTGAACTCCTAGCCCCTTCTCTGTAACAACTGGTATTAAAGTGGGCCTATCACCAAAAAGTGCTAGGCTTACTAAACTGGAGACTTCTCAGTAGGTGGGGGGTTTGGCCACCGGCAGGGGCCGCCCCTAGGCTGTAATTGGTCTTTAGTTTTTTTGTGCCTAGCGTCCTTCTCCTGCAGGTGGCGATATTACCTACAGTACATGATCTCCGATCTGTTCCCTGTGTCCTTCAATGAACGGAGAGAAAAGGATTTTACGGTGAGTACCAAAATCCTATTTTTTCTTTTTGCAGCCAACACCACCACCCCACTACATGTGAAATCACTGTAGCAAAAAGCTCCGTCTTTTACAGTAAGATCCCAGACATCGTTGAATGTCTGAAATCTTGTGAAAAGATGCAACTGCATTGTGCTGGAGACTTTGGGTACTCAGCATTCCCTGGGATGCTGATTGGCTGGGAAGCCGGCTTCCCGGCCAATCGGCATATAGCCCGTCAAACAGCATAGAGCCAGGAAGCCAGGCGTATAATGATTACCTGCCGTCCCCCGTCTTTCTGATTGGCCAGGAAACCAGCTCCATGTTCCCTCACGGCACTGCCACCCAGAGGAAACCTCCCACTGACTGTAAGTTCCTTTATCGGGGGTAAGTATCGGAGCAACGAGTACTCGCCCAAATACTTGGTATCTGCTCTGATACTAGTATCGATATCTGTACATCCCTACACCATATAGAACGTGATGACTCGTAGGACCTTAGACCACTGCAGCGGAGGGGGAGAGAGGCTAAAGTGACCGGTCTAAGAGCAAGCCAGGATCGTGGTTCAGGCCAGTGTAACTTTTTTGCTTCGCTCCACTGCAAGGGTTAAGGTTTAATTTGCTGGTAGTTCTGCTTTAAAGTAGTGAGAGAAATGTGTGTACCTCCCTATAGCAATATTCAGGCATTATATTCTGGTCCGGTCTAATCAGGTAAACAGACTTTGCTGCGTTATGTTAAAGCTTAACCTGCCATCTCCCACTTCTTCCTTTTGCCCATCTCTGGTTGCCTGTACTATATGCATTTCTTTTTTAGCATTTCTTTTTGTGTTTTAGGGATTGTGATGCATATACAAGGCATTAATCAATGTTTAGGATCAACTGACATATTTGTTTTTGTTGCATTATCCCGTTTAGCTTCTCCGCTGGTTGTGTGGCTCTTCCAGCCTTAATTAACATAAAAGCAGTCATTGAACAGCGGCAGTGCACTGGAGTGTGGAACCAGAAGGACGAATTGCCAGTGAGTACAATTACAATATACATTTGTAAAATGTCTCATCTTTTTGTCTTTAGAAATAGATGACTGATCTTATTAGTCTACGTCTGTTCAGCATTGGTCTCCTCCACTGGGATCCATTTCCTCTATTTGCCCCGAGTACTTTTGCACATTGTGTCACCTGCATTACTATCTTTCTATGAGGTTTTTTTTTTCTTCTCGTATGTATTGCAGCTAGTTAAAACCCTTTTCAGAGCCCCATGGCTAACCACACTTGTGGTAGTGTAACTTGGAGAAGTAAGGAGGGAGGAGGATGGGTGTCGTGTAACTTACGGAGCTTGAAGTGACGAGGGTGGCCTCTCTTGCACCTCCAGTCCCAAGACCCCTTAATTGGGGAATGGCTGTGTCGGAAGAAGAGTGGCGGAAGACGTCACTGCTGACAGAGGATGCAGAGCTCTGTGATGCACTTTTTGGATGGCAGGAGACTTCAGGGAAGCAAGGCAGGGCAAGTCATGGTCAGAAGCAAGCCGGTTCGGTAACATGCGGGCAGCAGGGTAACAAATCGGCAGGCAAGTTCGTGGTCAGGAGACAACCCAGAGTCAGAACCGTGTGGACAGCACAGTATAGGAGAGTAGGCAGATGCAAGCTCAAAATTAAGTCGGGGTAACCAGAAAAGCAGAAGAATGATTAGGACAACAGGAAATCAGTCCGGATTCAGGATCACAGGCCTGATTTCTAGGAACCACACAGGGAGCAGATGCTTACGCAGCACCTCTGCTATGGACTTCTTGACAATGGCAATCGGGGAGAGGGGGCTTGCCTCCTGCCATGCTTTTTGGAGACACCGCTTACTAGCACGCAAGGGTGTCTCCAGAGGACACTGCAAGGAAAGGAGCCACCTAAATCAGGATATCCGGGCCAGTGCTCAGGGGAGCAGCGGATTCTGCAGGAAACTAAAACTTTAAAGGAGCAGAGTGCTTTGTAAGTGATTTGAAATAGCTTAAGAACTTTTTGACTTTAATATCACTTTAAATAATTCCTCCTTGTATTTAATTGCAAAATCCTCCCCATGCAATTGGTGGCCCTCTTGTCCATTGTAGAGTCTTTGGAATGTTTTTTATGTTCACCCTGGATTTTATTTATACACCTCTAAAGTCATGATTGTAGAGCCTTAAAGAACCGCTCCAGGTAAAAATGTTGTTAACCCTTGCAGTGGGGCCTACTCGGTCACTGTAAGGCCTCATTCACACTGCTGTGCATATAGTACCATATGCAGCATATGCAAATAAATGGCTCCATACACATAGCTACGTATGGGGCCGTAAAAGTGCGCAAAAACAGAATGGACTCGAGATGCGCTTGGGCAGCGTATTTCTGCGTGTTTGTGCGCATATACGCACGTACAGTTAATTAACATTTCTTTTACGAATGATGCATTGTGGGATTGCAAGTAGTGCACGCATATACGCTCGTAAATACGCGCATATACACAATATACAATTTACTCTTGCGTTGTGTGTGTGTGTGAGAATGAGGCCTAAGTGATATTAAACCCTCAGATTTTTTTTAACATAAACCAATACTGTAATGTGTGCCTTACTTTAATCCATGGTAGTTTCCCTTCTCTTCCTTTTTAAATCCTCATGTCTTCTCATGCTGGGGGAGAACTTCCCTTTGCAGCTGAGTGCCTCTTCCTGTACTGCTGGCTCAGGTTGCAAACCTATACAAACTTATACACAGACACTGTGTATCCATTTTTGAGACAAGGCAGTCTGCTGCAAAACAGAAGTTCTGCAGAGCATGAGAACAGATACAGATTTAAAAGGAAGAGCAGCAAAGAGAAGGGAAACAACCATGGATTACAGTAAGGCGCACATTACAGTATTGTATGTTAAAAAATCTGAGGATTTAATGTCACTTAGTGTTCATTTTTGTTTAGCGTAAAAATTACAATTATACCCGCCGGCCAGCTGTGACAGCGCTCCCTCCAGCCTCTCTCCTCCACTGCAGTGATGGTATGTCCCTCGGCTTCCTCACTTCCTATACACAGTGTATGGAACGTGATGACTTGAAGCCCTTAGACCACTGCAGTGGAGGGGAAGAAAGGCTCCAGGGACCGGTCTAAGAACAAGTCGGCTCTGAGGATAAGGGGAGTATAACTAAACGGCTCCGGCTCTGGAACGTCCTTGGCATCCTCGCGTCTAATGCAGCTCGATGGACCATTAGACGTGATGACATCAGCGGTCCTTGGACCAACGAAGCCCAGGGGCACAGAGGCTGGGAGCACGGGTCTAGCAGCCCAGCCGGACTCAGGATCTGGTGAGTATATCTACTTTATTTGAGCCCCCTAGAAAAAAATGAGCCATTAACATTTGTAGTGTTGGGCTGCCCCAGTACAAGGCTACATTTGTTTTTGTTTTTTATGCCCAGAGTTCTTCTTTAACGAGTCTACTCGGCTTGTATCCAATCATGCAGGACTTTGCACAACACAATTGTTAGTAGATGTGAAGGTGATTGTACAATCCGGCTGTAAAATGTATGGCCAGCTTTAGGCATCTTTTTTCTTTACCCTAAGCAGAGTTGCAGCACAGTGAGCGTGAGAAATTTGTTTGTTTTCGTGTTTTTCAATCTTTTGTTTTTATCCATTTTTTTTTTTTTTCCCTCCAGATTGAGGTGGACCTTGGCAAGAAGTGCTGGTACCATTCTATATTCGCCTGTCCAATCCTTCGTCAGCAAACCACAGAGAATAATCCTCCTATGAAACTTGTTTGTGGACACATAATATCCAGAGATGCTCTAAATAAAATGTTTAATGGTAGCAAGTAAGTGAATTTTTATTTGTTGACATAGTTACAGCGTGTGATGGATGCCGTTCACTGGTACTTGCAGGCTCAGAGCAAAGTCCGCTACATGACCGCTTTCCAGGAGCAGACCAATAAATGTTTCCAGATCTGACTTTGTCTGACAGTGACAGTAAACTCAGGAGTGAAATCTTAAAAATAAAATGTTAAAAGTAAAGGTACTTGAATGCATCTTATTTGTGTATCACTCGGCTGTAGATCCTCCAAATGTTCTCTGAATTGGTGCTGACACTGTCCTTCCTTCTGGAGGGGGGCTTCTTTTTGTTCCCCATGATCCCTGTGTGTGTTGTAAAGTAGTCACCTCACTCCTGTGATGGACTACAATCTCACGTTTAGTTTACTAATTTTGTATTGAGGTTGTAGTCCATCACGGGAGCAAGCTTGGAGCGGTGGCTACTTTACAACACACACAGGGACCATGGGGAACAAAAGTAGCCCCCCTCCAGAAGGAAGGACAGTGTCGGCACCAATTTTTGTCTCCCAAGTGAATGCACCGCACGAACGATAAAGGTATGGATGTGCTCCCTACAATCGTGAAAATTTCATAAACCATAATTGTTTGTTTATTTTTATTCTCATCAGCATCATGCACATAAAATGCAAATTATAGTGAACAAGTTACACTGAATAAATTAATATTTCTAGTGACTAAAAATCTAAGCAATGGCATATCCAATATGACGTGTACGTCTAATTGTACACAATACAGCAAAAAAACAAAACAAAAACGTGCTCCTGTGCCCATAAGTCCACTGTCCTTTCCACCAATGCTTAGTACCCTCCATACCGAGAACAAGATTAAATGAACTCCACAGAGTCTATTGATCACTAGAAGTCCGCAGTGGCACCGTGCTAGTATCTCCCGCTGCGGCTCTTATCAAACACTAGACTCCCCCCGGTTCCATCTGTGCTACGAGTGGTGAAGCAACAATCCTCCTTTCTGCTATCTTATATCACCTCCTTATGGATCCGATCTTTGCCCTTCGTAACTCACAAGAAAAGGAAAACCGACAGGCCCCAAATAGTGAAATATGTCATACAATGTTTATTTAAAAAGGTTAGAAAAAAACGTACTATTTAAATTGGCCTCAATCGGCTTGTGCGCTCCATTCAATAAAGCCCAACTTCACCTATCTCTGTCCATTGTGCTCAAACTTTCCTGATGACATCAGCCTGTGCCCCGCCTCCTCTGCACGTTACATAGCAGGACTACTTTTGGAGTGGCATTCATGCTGAATCATATTCGTTGCTTTTATTCTCCTATTCAAATCAAGTCCAGGGGGTGTGCATTTCCTATCGCCTCACACCTGGGACATGCAATTCTGGGCGCCGGGCAGGTGTTTTTTTTTTTTTGGGGGGGGTTATTTTAATTTTTTTACTCCTACATTTAGCCCTGCTGCAGGCAAGCAGTGCTAATTGTCGCGCAGGGAAGCTGCCACTCGTCTTGTACCCCCAGCCCAGCACAGTGCTATGCTAACAATAAGCAATGTGTTCTAACCTAGTTAATGCACACTAGCTAATCCAAATTCTTCAACAGACCCATAGACTGACATCTGACTCGCTGCCATGGCTTACTGTACTTTATGTCTTATTGTGTTTTTTTGCTAAATCTGAAATATGGTTTATAACTCTGTGCCTAAAATGTTTCTTCCTGCAGATTAAAATGCCCGTATTGCCCGATGGAGCAGAGTCCTGGAGATGCCAAACAGATCTACTTCTGAAGACAGGGACTTGTTCCTCTAGTGCTGGATGGCCTCATGGGGTTTTTTGTTTTTTTTTAAAGTGCATTTGATAAAAGGCGGGGAGTTGAAATTGTTCCCGTATTCCCAGAGAATGCAGAAACCCATCATCCTGAAAGCCAGTTCCACCAAGACACTACTGAGATGTAAAATTCTGACAATAAAATGTCTTGAATGGACCAGGAACCTTCCTGTCCCCCGGTCTCCATACCTGGCCAAGCACCAGCATTGGTCAAATCATGCAGGTTTTTGTACTTCCTAAGCAAAAGATGATGTAAACATTTTTATTGTTCATTCCCAAAATACTCTCAATCCTCTCCTCTTTTCTGAAGTGGGTTATATAGGCAAAACGTTGAAGCGCTCTCAGTAGGATGCACAGATTGTTTGGGGGTTTTCTTTGGTCTCATTTGTGAATTTATAGACTACTTCATCCAGACTGGCTCATGACCTCATGACCATGCAGAAGGCTGACCAGAGCTATTGGATGGGTTTCCAAGCCTAGTCCATTCGTTCTTCTTTCTATGTGGTGAGCTGGAAACAAAGAGCTCTATTGACTTCTCCTCTCCAAAGCAGAGAAAGGGCTATCTGACTGGTTTCCAAGCCTAGTCCATTGGCTCTTCTATGTGGTGGGCTGGAGGTAGGAGCTGTCGGTTTACTCCTCCCTACTGCATTCTGGGGAGAAAGAGTTATCTGATGGGTTTCCAAGCCTAGTCTCCCTTCTATGTGGTGAGCTGGAGAACAAGAGCTCTGACTGCTCCTCTCCAAAGCAGAGAAAGAGCTATCTGACGGGTATCCAAGCCTAGTCCCCGTCTGTGGTGAGCTAGAGATTGAGAGCTCTGACTGCTCCCCCTCCAAAGCAGAGAAAGGGCTATTGGATGGGTTTCCAAACCTGGTCCAATCACTTTTCTTTCTATGTGGTGAGCTGGAGGCAGGAGCTGTCGGTCTACACCTCCCTACTGCATTCAGTGGGGGGAGAGAGTGATCTGACGGGTTTCCAAGCCTAGCCCAATCGTTTTTCTTTTTGTGCTGAGCTGAACGAGAACTGTCGGCCTGCTTCTCCCCGCTGCATTCAGTGGAGAAAGAGTTATTGGACAGGTTTCCAAGCCTAGTCCATTTGTTCTTCTTTCTATGTGGTGAGCTGGAGAAGGAGAGCTGTCAATCTGCTCCTCCCCGCTGCATCCAGTTAAACAATGTAGGCTCCGTTAAGCTGAGCATATACGTTTATGGATCGCCGGGCAGGAGTCGGATAGTGCCTGTACTTTCATCTGACCCGACATTTACTTTTTTAGACCTTGTCTTACTGTTTACATTGTTGTCCACACACATTGGTCACTGGGTGGGCATACTGTTGGCCTTGCGTTTTCAATTGCTTTGTATTTTAACACAGTTTATATTGTATTATAACACATTCACAAGGAGAGGTGAAGGAGGCTGCAAACACATTGCAGACTATGTAATAAGGCGAGTCATGTAAAGGGCAGCCAGTGGCATGAGAGATGCTCAATGATCAGATTACATGCACTCTGTTCATTGTGTGTGTGTGTGTGTGTGTGT